AAAAGGGGGTTGATTTTATCTATTTGAACTTGTTGAATCTGAATTACTGGGAATTATTCAGCCAAGACAGAAGCGTGAGTCTCAAACTCTAATTTTTGCATCTATTGAATGCCCTCTTACCCCCCCAAAATAAACTAACGAAGAGAAAGGAAAACAAAGTAAATTTTTTTAAAAAAAACACAACTGGGTAGCTGGGCTCAAAAGGAAAAATGAAGCTTGAAGGCCAGCTCCAGAGTTTCTGATTCTATAGGTCTGAGATTGGACCCAAGAATTCACATTTTTATCAATCACAGAGAGTGATTTTATCACTCATTCCAAGATTTGAGAATGAATGGGCTAAATTTTGATCCGTGGAAAACTACAGGCTGTTGGAAGAGTTTCCCTGGGTGACTGGTCTTTCTTGGGGGGATTCCTGCAGCTCCTCATCTGTCTGCCCCACTGTCTCCCTCCCTGCTGTATCCTTCTTTCTAAGTGGAAATCCCTCTGCCCAGCCCAGGGGGAGCTGGAGGGAGGAGCAGGAGGACTCCTCAGGGGGAAAAGAAAGCCTCATGGGAGGCCATGAGAGAAAGGCCCTTGAGGATGCACAAGTCAACTTCCCTTTCTTTACAACATTGCCAAGAACTAGTGCTGTCCGATAAAAAGATGTAGTAACTTGAAACAAATTAGAAGCTAGTGGAGGGGATAGTCTGCAGCAGTACGGCACCATCTTACTGAAAAAAAAAAAAAAATCCCTGTGGAAATGAGATTCACTCGGCTACATACACTTATTTTCAAAATTATGGAATTTATTAGACTCTCAGATCAGTCCTGTGTGTTCAGATACTTTTATCACACCCTGAAGGCTACTCATTTTTTCTTTTTATTTTCTGAGAGCATCGAGTCCTGTTTGTTTTATCTGTTTACTTTGGGTGACATTTGCTTTGAGTTTTATGCTCTTTATTATCTCCCATTGATTCTCCTGTTTGTTATTTATTGTGCATTCATCTCCTCTCTCCTGAGTAACTTCAAGATGAACTAATTTCAGCACAAGAAAGCTGAAAGGATGGGAAACACACATCAAGGCATTTGCCAGTTCCAATTACAGCATTGTTCTGGGGAGATCTGATAGAGGAGATCCATGTGTGGCCAACAGAACTGTGAAGAGTGAGAACAGATTCCAGATCTCATGTTCCCCCTCCTGCATTGTTTATCACTGCAGCTCAGAGATAAGGATGGGAGAGAAGTAAGAAGAATGAGCAGGGAGAAGAAAGACGCCGGGTGCTGCGGGTGTTCTCTGGAAAGCAGTCTCTGGATGGATGTTAGAGTGCAGGATGCTCACTGGGGAGTGCCCTTTGGGGTTGTCACCCGTGGAAGGGGGAGGAGGCAGTGGCAGTCGGAAGCTGAGGTCAGGTTTCATGGAGGTCCAGAACAGCCGAAGTGAGGAACAGGTGCTTGAGCTGAAATAACTCTCAGTGTGGCCTCTTCCAGGCTTGTGCACCCTCACACGGATTACTCCTTGTTGTGGCTGCCCCTGGAAGCTATGACCCTGAGCAAAGTGACTATACAACTGAGCATCCCCTGAAAGGGGTGGACAGCAAGTGGCTACCCACTGGCCAGTCCTTTCCTGAAGGGGCATCTGCCTGGTGCATCTCCATGTCTACCACGAGTGGGCTGAACATCAGGAGTCCCGTGATCTAGTCGTGGCGCTGGCCGTAATGATCGGTTTGAGCTACATAACCACACTGGGCTAATTTCTTCTTTTCTAATCCACGCTGTTGGGAAGAGCTCTCCAAGTTTATAAACTCCCTTCACACCCTTGTTTTCCCCCTGCGCACCTAGTGAAATACTCAGGAAAAGGATTCATACTCATTTGAAAAGATTTCATCGCCAAGATTTATAGTATTTAAGTGCTATGTCAGGTTATGTGACTAGATTAATGGGGACAGGATTCAAAAATCCAAGGCCAGACCCCTTGGATCATGCAAGAAGGGAATACTTGTATCTCGCTTATCCTACCAAACATGTAGAGTCATCACAAGAAAGAGATCAGGTGAATAAGAACATTTTGAAAAATAATTCAATAGTCTTTTGGGTAGAAATTGTACCAACTTGCCATTATATTGGTGTTATGGTTATGAATTATATCCCAAACAAGGATCAATAGCCACAGCACCCATGTCCAATCACATCTGACACTGCGCTGTACCCCACCACCTGCACCTCGTTCCATTCCATCATCCCTCAAACTGTTGTCTCAGACACGGCACAGGTCCCCACCGTGGGAGTGCTCCTTAATCCGCTTCTACTCAACATCTCACATCTGCTGTCCCAGGAGCCCGCAGTGAGGCCATCCCTCGGTCTCAGCTTGACCACAGGCTCCATCAGAGAAAGCCTCCCCTTATTCTCAGTGCCTTGGCGACCATTTCCCAGACATCCAGATGCCCTTCCACCACAGCTTACCTGTACTGTAGTTGTCAGGCATCTCAGCTCTGGTGAAAGCCACCACCTCGTCGCCCTCCTCACCCAGGCACAGCTTTGTCTCCACCACCCCAGAATCTTCCCAAATGCCAGCCCCTCCCCTTCCTTCCAAAGCAGCTTCCTGCAATTCTCTCCTTGGGGGAGCTTTTCTTCAGTGAAGCCTTAGCCATGGAAAGGAGATGTCAATGCCAACATGAGGGTGAATTGCTTCTTTCCTTGAATTCAACAGCTTGCCTTTTAGGAGGGAGGTGGGAGATGGGAGAGAATCAGCTTTTATCCTATTACTGCAGAAAGAAAAGAAATAAAAGTATCAATATACTCTCCTTTCACTCTAACTTTGTGGCACTCAGATGATTATCATGGCCAGGTCAGGGCTCTTGGCATTTTCAGCTTCCTTCCTTTCCGGTGGTCCACATATCTCAGTCTCTACCCCCCATGCCTTCCATGCTCAAGCTGGTAGAACACAATGGAAAGGTGTTGGGTTCTGAGTGAGAAGATGTGAATCCACATCCCACATCTTATCCCAATGTACTTTCAACAGTCTGTGAACCTTGCTTTCCTGATACGAGTAAGACTCGGCATAATACCCACCTCAGAAGGTTGTGGGGGGAAGTAAACACCATAGTGTCTTTGAAGATGCTTTCTAAAATATAAGCTATTATACAAATGTCCCTTTGATGAGGTGAGATGAGAAGTGGGATGAGGAATTCTCAGAGGTAGAGCCACTGAGATGTGATACCCAGAGGGCCAGAAAATCCAGTGACCAGAAAGAAGAGAGCATGGAGAGGGAACAAATGTTCAGTAACATCAGTGATGGAAGGACGGTCCCAAAGGGCAATTCTTGGGGCGACTTCTAGTGCAGCCATGGGCATGCAAGTGATACAAAAGCAGTAATAAACACTGCCATGTACTGAGCCTACTGTGTCCAGGGTCCTCTGTTAAAGATGGTACATTTATTATGTCTCAGCCTTATATAACTCTTGTACTCCTGAATTCTGTATCAGCATGCCCAATGTATCAGTGAGGACTCTCCAGAGAATGAGAACCAATAGGATGATATATAGACGTATATATATCATACACTTTTAGATATATCAATTTTTTTGTAAGACTGGCTCTCATAATTACGGAGGCTGAGAAGTCCCAAAATCTTCAGGGTGATTTGGCAAGCTAGAGACCCAGGAGAGCTGATGGTGTAGTTCCAGTTCAAAGGCTGGCAGGCTCGTGACCAGGAAGAGTCAATGTTTCAGTTTGAATCTGAAAGCAGGAAAAAAATCCACACCCCAGAATGAAGGCAACCAGGCAGGAAGAATCCTCTCCTACTCAGGAAGGCGTCAGCTTCCTGGTCTCTTCAGGCTTTCAACTGATCAGTAGAAACGCACCCACACTAAGGATGGCAATCTGCTTTACTCAGTCTATGGATTTAAGTGTTAATCTCATCCAAAAATCACCCTCACGGAAACACACTGAATAATCTTTGAGCAAATATCAGGGCACTGTGTAGCCCAGCCCAGTTGACACAGAAAATGAACCATCATAGCCATTTTACAGATAAATCTGAGTTAACAGGCTACATAGCTACCGAATTGTAAGCAAAGATTTGAACCCAGATCTGTAGGCCAGGTCAGGGCTCTTGGCATTTTCAGCTTCCTTCCCTTCCAGTGGTCCTCATGCCTCAGTCTCTACCCTCCACGCCTTCCACGCTCAAGCTGGCAGAACACAACGGAAGTAGCTTTCAGTTGCTCTAGGCCCAGTCTCACGTACGTGAATCAGAAATGTTTAAATTAAAATAGTAATAATGTTAATATTTAAAACAGGAGCATTTAAATTAAACAAATGCCTCCACACTTTTTTTCCAGAAACAATCAGAAAAAGTGGTACTTCTTAAAATATTGAATTCAGGACCTAAAAAGTCAAGAAACATTTAAATCTGAGAACTGTGACTGTAGAAACCAGATCATATATTTTTGTTTATATTGCCTATAGGTTATAAGAGCCTTTTTTTTTTTTAACATTTTATCCCCATCATGTGGATCATTCTTTTCCCATACTACCTCTCCAACAATGCATATTTTCTAAACTTTGGATGATTAAATGAATATATGAATAAGTGAAATGGCAATTTTCAATTTCATCTAAAATTTTTCATGAACATAGCAAATTTAGAAAACTCTATAGTCAGTACATCTAAGGTAAGAGAGCAATCTGACTGTATGCTTTGGTAAAGTGATAATGATTTATAGAATTTGCCATTGCTAGAGGTAAGCATGTTTGGGCGTAGAATGTAAACTGCATCACATATTATTTTTAGCTTCTGACACTGCTATTACAAGATAGGATCTTGCTGTTTGATAGCCTTGCATTAATTATTCACAAGCTCTTATACTTCATTTGCTTTGCATCATTAACCTCTTAGAACATGTCCCATTTTCCAGAGGTTGGTAGGAAAGAAGTTATGACTGGAAATACTGTGAGGGTAAGACACTATTTTATGATTTCTCTTTGAGTCTTACCTACTAATGGCTTTATTTTGTTTCTTCCAGTGAAAAAGGCAATTGAGTTGAAGTCAAGAGGAGTCAAGATGCTGCCCAGCAAGGACAGTAGCCATAAAAACTCTGTCTGTAAGTCCTCTTTCTTTCTATATGAGGATTGATATGTCAGTTACAGGGAGCACGAAGGAGAGGAGAGAACGGAGCAGTTCCGGAGAAGTGGTTCTATAAACTGCTTTTCCCGTTTAATCTCTTTCTCCTTTTCTTCTTCCAAAAGTATTTGATGGGAGAAAGAATATACACTGGCTTCACATTGTTTGGGGAAGAATGTCATGTTGATGCTATCTCCTAAACATGTCTCAAATCTGTCTTACTCTTCGCCCTCATTGGTCACCATCTGAGACTGGACCTTCCAGATTTCTTTGTTAAAAGGTGTTCCACTATTAGGGGTTTGGACTCCAGTTTCTCTCTCCATTCTGGTTTACCTCTCCAGTCTGGTACACCAGATTGATCCTTGGGACATAGAGGTTTGGTCTTGTCATCTTCCCATTAAAATGTTCCTGATCATCCATGGTCTGAAGAATAAAATAGCTTTAGGGCAAGATGTGCATCCTTCCAAGGAAAACAAGAGTGTGAAGACCATGTCTATGTGGGTTCCATGTGGATATGCCCAGCACATGGTAGGCACTCAGTCAACAGCTGTTGGATGAGTGAAAATATCCCCTACCAACTACTTTTCTGGTGTCTTCTCCTTGACGCCCCTCATCATTATCTAGCCAAAAGGACCACCTCGCCATTCCTTGCACATGTCATTATGCATCTCTGCTAGAAGTCCCCTCTCCCTTCTTTGCCTGCAAAAGCCCTATTTGAGCCTAGAGACTCACCATATGAAGGCTTTCCTGACTCCCCCAGGCACGGTAGGTGTTCCCTCTTTTTGTTCCCCCATGGTTGCATTCTTACCTCTGCTACAGGATTTACTTTGCCAGAGTGTCACTATGGGTTTGCCTATTCCACTAAATGCAGATCAGTAGGCTCCGCGGAGATGCCCAAGTGGGTTTATTTCCAGTGTGGTCCTTCCCACACATCCTGCTCTTTTTAAGACTGTCAACCTGTTGGATTTCCTTTTCTATTCATTCCTAGTGACCTCTTCTTGTGCTGTTCTTACGAACCTGCTCTCTTGGTGCTCTTTGCCCTGGTGTTTGGAATCTGTGTATTTTATTTGTTTTCCCACTGCATAGCAGTTGGTGGAGGTGGAAGTTTGGGATGGACATCCGGAGCACCCTTAGTTCAACCAACTCTATTTTTATCTGGATGGTATATTGAGCTACTGCACAGGTTTTATTCATGACAAATATTCCACTAAAACTAGTAAATAAGCAAAAACTAACTATAATAAAAATCTTTAAAAGTCACATTGTAGATTGACCTTCCTCTGCTTCCTCAGTGTGCCCGTTTTACGGCTTCCTACTGAATGCCCGTGTAACAATAGTCCATCTACTCTGTGCAATGACCCTGCCCCATGGCATCTGGAGAGGACAGAGAGGTAGACCCAGACCCCTAGGATGTAGGCTTCAGACACAGGGTGTGTCTTAGATCGTTCAGGCTACTATAACAAAATATCACAGACTGGGTGATTTTAATATATTTCTCCTAGTTCTGGAGGCTAGAGTCCAAGATCAAGGGTCAGCCGATTCAGTGTCTGGTAAGGAGTTCCTTCCTGACACATGGATAGCCATCTGCCTTCTCATTGTATCTTCATGTGGCAGAAAGAGATCATCTTTCCTCTCTCTTCTTATAAGGGCACTAATCTCATCATGGGGGCTCCACCCTCATGACCTAATCACCTCCCAAAGGCCCCACCTCCTAACACCATTGTCTTAGGGGTTCCGATTTCAATAAATAAATTTTAGGGGGATGCAGACTTCAGTCTATAGCAAGGTGGATTCCCCAAACTCTGACTACAACTCAGGTCCATAGGTCCCACAAAAAAATTACTCTGTGAATGTTTTCATTCCACTTTCTGTTTGATAATCATGAGGAGTGTCATTCAATTTAGATTAGACTCAAAAAGGATGGAAGCCAAATGCAGAAAGAAACCAACTGAGGGACAGAGGAGAAAAGAAGAGATTTTTCAAAAATAAGATGTAATGTTTTGTTATTATTAGCCTTTAATTCAGGATGTTCAATAGTATGGGAGATATGGTACTTATAATAGTTTTGAAATTGATTTTTTTATGGTTAAAATCTTGCAGAAATGATCCATTACTATAGAGCCACGTATCAAGTGAACTCTGACATCAAATCAATATTAGATCCAATAGAAGATCAATTAGACATCAAGCTTATCTGCTGGAATGACATTTAGGCAGAAGGTTTTTTTGTGGGTATCTCTCTCTGTCCTTATCTGAACATGAATTGACAAACACGTAATTAATCATTTGGCATTAGAAAGTGTTCTGTCCTTTCTCCCGGCAGTATTAAACAATTTTTTTTGTTGTCATACATGAGAATTAATCATTAGAGAAAATAAGGAATTGAAGAAACGGTGAGCCTTCTAAGATCAGCAGTGCAATAAACAGTAATATGTTATTTATGTGGAAGGTGTGACTGAGAAAACTTTAAGTGCTTCACAGAGAAAAGAACATGGGCTTTGAAGCTAGAGAGACATGGATTCAGTAGCTATAAAAGTATTTATCTCATTCAAACCAAGTTTCATCATTTATAAAATTATGATAGCAATGATTTTTATTGCGTTGTCATGTAGATAAACCAAAGTATTTGTAAATTGCCCATTCCAGTATATGACATAAGGTGGGCATTCTGCAAACCATACCCATTAGGAAATTTCCATATATAAATAGAAGGAAGTAAAGAATCTGAGTAATAGGTCAACCAAGAATTTTAATGGCCCAGGGGTCATACTTTCCGGAGGAGGAGGTAAGATCCAGACCACTGAACTTATTTTCTAAGATCTTAGAAAATCGTCTGGCTAGTCAGAGAAGGTGAGCCCAGAATGCACAGACCTCCTAAAAAGCCATCCAGCCCACATTGTAGCACATGGTGTTAGCCTTTATCTATGAAATGATGGACCCCATTTTCTCATTTAGCTCCTCATTAATTTCTTGCCATCTTTATGACATATGAGATTGCACATAAAAGTAATTTATGTATTTTATACATATAGCTTCTCTTGCTGCATAGATTTTATTTGCTGACATTATTTAATCATTTGCACACAGATTATCTAATGTATTTACATATAGCATTTATATTAAATGCTAGTAGTGCCTTTGGTACTGGCTTCATTCTTTTTCAAGCCATTCAATAGACTTTTTATTGTTAGTGCCTTCCTCTCAATTCTAACACTTAGTGACCCTGTTTACAGCAGAATGGAAATCTGCCTGATATTTGGGACAATATTTTCAGAAGTGAGTGGCCAGGTCCTTCTTTCTAGTCTGTCTTAGTCTGGAAGTTCCACTGAAACCTGTCCATGGGTGACCCTGCTGGTATTTAAAACATTGGTGGCATAGCTTTCAGCATCACAGCAACACGCAGCCACCACAGTGTGACAACTGACAGACGGAGGTGTGGTTCCCTGACGGTAAAGGAACCCTGTGAGAGCACTGAATCTTAACCCCTAGACCCCCAGGGCTGGCTACAGTAAACACTAGTCTCTGTCCTTTCTGCTTTACCCCAAGGGCTGGTTTTCTCTGGAAGATCACAGCCTCTGATATTCTAGAGATTAAGTCCAAGCATACAAGTCACTCTTGCCCAAGTTACACAATTGCCCTGAATCTTGGTTCCTCCATCTGTGGATTTGGGGAAGGGTAGAACAAAATATTCATACAACATGCTTAGCCCCGTGTCTCACAGCCATTGTTGGCGATTGTCCCACATCACTCTCTGTTGACCTCTACTTTAGTATTTTGCATTCTATATCGACGTTTTTGTTGTTGTTTATAGGTCTTTCTCTTTCATGAGGTTCCTCACAGCGGAAGAAATGTGACAGCAATGACCATGTACCTATCTTTTTACTCCAGAATCTAAGACTGTGCCTTCTAGGAAGTGCTCACGCAGTGCTTAGTAATTAAAACCTGACATGAATCGACTACACTAAATGGACTACAACTGTCCTTTTCTGGGTTTGAGTTATGTTCTGCCAGTAGGAAGCCCCAACAGGGTATTGGAAGGAAACACAAATATTAAGTTGGGGTATTTATTCCCCAGTTGCCTCCTGCAAAGTCCCCTCAGGCTGGCTGTGCTCGAAGGTGCAAAGGACAGAGATCACAGCTCTTCTCATAGGGGATGACCCTAGATGACCCACTCCCTCTGGATTTCAGTACTAATTTTTTGCTCTTGTTGCTTCCAGCTTAGGGAGTGATAATAGCTCAGCTCTTACTAAGTCCCAAGTTACCATACTCTTCCTGGTAGCGTCTCTACCTTTACTCTGGTGTAAACAGCTCCTTTGTATGTAATCCTGCTTTACATTCTTCTCCTCCAGAGGGGTGTCTGTTTCCTGTTAGGACCCTGTCTAAGATGAGGGCAAGTGCTCCAGGTTTTGGTGAACCACAAAGGGCCAACTCTACCAAAGATACAGAGGTTTTAAAAAAAACAACAAACAGTAGACAAGGCAAGGAATCGTGCCTTCTGGCTATGTCAAATCCAAGCTCAGTTAACTCCTCATGTCTGTCCTCTGAGCATCAGATAGGGGCTAAGCTGGAAAGAGAGATGGAGGACCTAGCTAGGGAAATGGAAGCATCTGACAGACCACCTCAGGAACTTGCGGTTTAATGACGGAAGACTGATACAATAATAGTAGTTAGATCATTGCAGTGCTGAAACAATGGGCTATGTACCATATATGATAAGAGGAGTAAGCAAAGATTTTGTAACTTGTATATTTAAAAAGTTTATACCAATACATAGTAGCTGGTATATAGACTGAAAGAAAAACCCCCATTGTTCCCTTGAAAGATAAATACTGTCTCTATCGGGATATATCATATGGTCCCTCATTCCAGCCTTTTCTCAGTATGTCTCCCTGTGTTTTCTTCCTAAACTTGCCTTGATTATGCATTTGGTCCCAGATGAGGTCCTTGAGAGCTGAATTCTCCTCCAGGAAACACCTCCCA